ACGATTTGCTCAAGCATGGCTGAATGAGTTACCCCTGATAAGCCTTCGCAACTTACCAAAGATTTGTGCTCGCGCCTCGGCGCCGGCTACCTCCTCCGTCGGAACAGGGGCGACCAGATCCCTCCCAGAGCACAATTGGACGACAGAGGCGTAATCAAATGGTTCGGTTGAGTCTGACCACTCCTCCCTCCTCCTGCATCCCTTTCGGGGCCCAGAACTTCGAGGATGCCTCCGGCGAAACAGGGCAGACCACCTCGCGCGCAGCATCTCGGAGCCCCGAATTGCGAGGATACCTCGAGCGAAACAAGCCAGATCACCTCGAACACATGTTCTCAGAGCCACGAGTTGCGAGGATGTCTCAGACGGAACGAGCTGGACCACCTCGCGCATATCGACTCGGAGTCTGGAGTTGCGAGGATGTCTCAGGAGAAACGGGCTGGACCACCTCGCGCACAGCATCTCGGAGCCCCGCATGGCAAGGATGTCACAAGCGAAACGGACTGGACCACCTCGCGCGCAGCAGCTCGGAGCCCCGCACTGCGAGGATGTCTCAGGCGAAACGGGCTGAACAACTATTTGCGCGACATCCGGAAGCTCAGAGTTGCGAGGATGTCTCGGGCGCCCAGACCCCTCCTGGGTGAGGACCGTTTTCAGGCCTCGCCCGTGAGGACCGCCAATAAGCCTCACGCTCCGCGCAGCTTCCATCATCGGGGCTGCGTGGCTTCCCACCCCACACACCTACTCATGACGGCGTCAATAGCTACAGGAGGGGGCCGAGGACTCGTCTAAGGACCTTCGGCCAACGCAGACGTCCCTTGAGGAGGGTCCCAAGTAGTTACCTCCACACCTTTTACAACTTTCCTTTAACCCTGAAGATTCTTTAGAACCCACCCAACGGGGGGTAACTAATTATTAGTTCGGCGGACTTATGGAGGGACTGGAATCCCCACCAATTGGGGGTAACTAGTTCTTTTTGTCCGCGGCAACCGCTTCCTCCTCCTCCTCCTCCTTTTTCTTCGGCAGGCCACTGGGCGCGCACACCCGAAGCGTCAGATCCTCCTCCTCCTCCTCCTCCTCCTCCTCCTCCTCCTGAGCCGCAACCCCCACCGACGGCCGGGCCTTCCAAAGTCCCCAGAAATTCCGACCCCTTCTTCAAGACCGGTGTTTCATGCCGAGTCGTGTCTCGACGGCCCCAGGGCCCGGCGAGGGCCCCCTAGAAGCCGGAAAGGCCAAACGAAAACTCACGCCGCGATGGTTCCACGACGCGAGCACGTCACGTCTGCGAGGAAGAGGAAGAGCACCCGCACCAACTAGCGGCGCGCACAGGGGGGATAAGGAGAGGGGGAAGGCTTCTTAGGAGGCGGCTGCTGCTTCAAAGGCGCCAGCCCTATACATGCACAGAGAAGGCCCGCGCCTTCTGAGAAGCAGGGGGGCCTCTAAGAAGCCTGCCCTCCCTCCCCCTCTGCGCGTGGCCGAGATCAGCCGCAGCCCCTACCTCGCCATCGCTTGGAAGCCCATTCCCCCCGTGCATGCTTCGACTTCGCGCGCGTATGTTTTCGCACGATGCTCCAAGATGCTCCCCGATGGCGCCATGGGGCGCCTCGGCCGCACCTCGCACAGTCCGCCCCTCGTCGTCGTCGGCGCGGGCGCCCGCCCCGCCCTTTTCCTCCTCGTCGCCCACCTGCCCTCCTCCTCCTCCCCGTCGCTGTCCTCCTCCTACCGCTCCTCGCCCTCGTGGTCGCCGTCCTCGTCCTCCACCTCCTCCTCCTCGGGCTCCTCGCCGATGCACGCCCGAGCGATGTCGAGCCACCCAGAGGAGGAGGCGGAGGAGGCGGAGGAGGAGGAGGAGGAAGAGAGGAGGAGGAAGAGGAGGAGGAGGAGGAGGAGGAGGGGCCTCCCGCGCCCTCCCCCGCCGGCGCCGCTGCGGCCCTGGCCGCCGAGGCCGCGGCGGCGCAGGTCGCGCCGAGGGGCGCGCACAGCGGGCACGCCTCGCGCCCCGGGCCGCCACGGGCCGGCGCCCCGGCGCTGGCCGCGGGGCCCGCCAGGGCGCCCACCACCGTGCTGACGATCAGCTCGCGCCTGTGTCGGGCCAGGCGAAAGGGGGGTATAGCAAAGGGGGGGCTTGAGAATCAGCTCATAGCTGACTTTCCCGGCGCCTCCCAGCGCCGGAGGCGGCTATGTATCGAGGAATGGACCTGGCGGCGGGGCCGAAACCAGCTGCATGCAGCAGATTTCGTAACCCCCCTTTCCCTCGTCCAGCCCGACTGTGGCGACGGAAGGGCCCGGGCCCCCTCGGGTCGTATGGGCGAAACCTCGGCGGCAGGCGCTGGGCGCCTGTCGGCCTCCGGGGGCCCTCGCCGGGCCACGGGGCTGTCAAGCAACGGCTCGGGATGGAGCACCGGTCCTGGGGAGTGGGCCGAGGCCTCTGGGGAAGGAGCGACTAGACCTACCAGACCACCCCGACCCAACCGGAAGACCCACAATTTCAAATTAGCAGGGGCACGTGATCCGTTTTTTCAATGTTCCCCGACGACCCCCCACTGGGCATGGAGGGCAAATTGGGGCATACTGGTTGGGTTGGGTTGGGATAGTTTGGTGGGCGGTGGTGTCTCGAGGAAAGAACAACCCGCGCTCAAACGAATATAGAAGCGGGGAGGGACATGGGGAAGCCATAAGACCATGGTGTCAAAGTTTTGTCGAGTCGGGCGTTTGCGCTCGCTTTCGGGCCCAGGGACCTTTGCAGATCAATCCGGCTCGAAAAATGCAGCAGAACAATGGGGTCTAGGGTTCAGTTTGCTGTCTTTCGCGATGCTCCATTTTTTCGCAACATCGGATCTCAAGGGAGCTCTGGGCTACCCCTGATCACTCCGAGCCACTGCCCCGAACTTCCTCGGGTCATGCGAAAATCACGACGGGCGGCTTTTGGGGCAATTTTCGCCATCTGGGGCCCTCGCCGGGCCCCAGGACCGTCAACAATCGGCTACACGCAGGAGTGACCCTGGGTAAGAGTGACCTTAGGTGCGCGGCGTTTGGGGGGGCCGCGTGGGGGCCAAACACAAGCACGCGAGACGCTGCGATCGCATCGCGCTCGGCGATCGGGGGGCCCCGGTGAGCCCGCACCAAAGGTCACTCCGGCGAAGGGTCCCTCTCACGCGTAGCCGAAACCAGCTACTCCTGAGATGGAAAGCGGGTGCTGGTGCAGGGAGGCAGACCACCGGGGGGTCCACGTCATGAGAGAGTCACGACGTCGGGGGTCTGGGCCCTGGCCGTGCTCGAAGGGGGGCGCTGGGCCCACCCCTCCCGGGCGGTGGCGGAGCAGGCGAAGGCCAACCCCTCACGGGCGATGGCAGGGGCCGCTGCGGGCCCCTGCCAGAGGGTGGCGGCACCAGTACCTCGCTGCCCCCGAGGAGGTCTGTAATGCTTGCTGATTATTTGCTCCCGAGGGTTGCGGTAAGCGTCGCAAGAAACACTCAATAATAGTTCATCCCACTCAGCGCCGAACAACTTAATTAAGTTGTCGGCCGGCCGATGGGCTTTCCATCAGCTCGCACACATCCTCCTGTGGCCAACGCGTGCGAGAGTCCTCGACGGCGGGCTCCTTTCGGAGTTTCGTTGTCGATGGCGTCAAGAACTGCAACCTCCTTGACGGGTATCTGTGCAAACCAGCTGGGATGCTGGCAGATCTCCGCCCAGCACCTCTGCCTACGGGAATCGCAGAGGTGGCCGAGCAGGGCAAGGCGAGTCCCAAAGACGGTCTTGCAGACTGGGCAAGCGCCGCTCGCAGCAGCGTAAAATCTTTGAGGGCACTTCTCGCCTTGCTTGATCCGGCGGTACTGTGCGAGCTGTTTGTGGGTGTGGAAAGCCACGCCGCAAGCATCGCATCGAAACTTCTGACTCGCATCACCATCGTCCAGGCTAGCGACCCGAACGTCGCAAATCGAATCGGTGAAGTGCACAAGCGCTACACACTGCTTCCATCTCAGCTGATCTGAGAGGATAAACTCGGTCCACGCTGCAGGGTCCAAGTCGGGATCGGGCAGGGGGCCACATCGGGCGACAAGATTCCGCATGCGCCGCATATCTTCACAGATCAGGCGGAGCCATCTCGATCGGATCTCGCGAGGTCGCTGCCGAAGGAGAGCTCACACGGGCCACCCGTACGCATGGCGTCGTGCAGGCGGCGCATGCCACGCATGTCCACATCGTTCGAAATCGTGAGAAATGGTTTGGTGGGCACAACAACGTGGAGATTACACAACAACCTGGACAAAACCAGCGTCTGGAACATCCAACGCCGAATGTCCAACGACATGTGCGATGACCCAACAGCTTTGACCGCGAACGGCGCGCACGCAGCCAGAGCTCGTTTCCCGCCACCGTGCGCAAGCGGGACAATAGAACATGAGAGGGAGATTCCACCTCCAAGGTGCTTGTGCCCCGTAACAATGTGAAGCAAAAAACCGAGCCCCAGGCCTGGCCCGTCCTGGGTCTACCATCGGCGCATGCGCCCTCATGGCCCAGTCGGGGAGGCATCTGCGCCGCTCCTGGGCCGAGGAGGGGCCTGGAGGCTGGGGTGGGGCTCTCAGACCTCTATCGGCGATCACTGGGCGATTGGGGGTCGATGCATCCCCCCTGAGCCTCATTATCTCTCCCCCGAACGTTACCCCCTGGTTTTCGGCTCGTAGCTCGGCTCTTTGGCGGCCGTTTGAGACAATCCGGGCACCCCGGGAACGCCCTCGGCGAGGCGCAGCTGCTGGAGAGCATCCCGACGCTGGAAAGCCACCGAGCACCGACGAGAACCTCCGACAATTTAGAACCTTGCGATCCGGCGGCACGAAAAAACTGAGACATCGTGGAACATCCAACGGGAGCTCTAGACCCCGCCCTCCCGCGCCCACTTTCGAGCCGGACCACTCAAAAACGCCAGGCTCGAACAAATTGAGACGCCGGGATCTCACGGAACCTCGAAGCCCCTGAGCCGATCGTTGCCCCTGACTCGCCTGCCCTCCGCGGAGCCGCTGGCCCCGGCGGCCAGCTGCAGGGCGCCCAGCGGGTACCGCAAGCGGCAGAGGAGCTCCGGGGAGAGGCGGGCGCCGTAGCGGCGGAGGAGGCCGTCCACGACGGCGTTGCGGGCGCCGTGCAGCTCCACGGGGCCTGTGGGCACGGGACCCAGGCATCGGGCGTCTCAGAAAAAATCGGGACGAGCATTTTTCGTCGTTTTCGGCCTCTCGGGGACCTCGACGGGCCTCGGGACCGTCAAAAAACGACTCGGGATGAAAAACCGGTCCCAGGGAAGTGGTCGGGAGGTCAGGGGCCCGTGACTCGAAAAATTTGAGACGTCGGATGTCTGGGGAAGGAGAGACAGGTGGAGGGGGGGAGGGAGCGAGTAAGGGAGGGAGCCCAGACCCCCTGGAGTCATGAAAAAGAAGCGGCGGCAAGTTGCTCGCTATTTTCGCCTCTGGGGGCCCTCTCTGTGCCTCGGGACCGTCAAGAAGCAGCTCGGGATGAGGAAGCGATCCCGCGGACCGGGGGTCGACGTTATGAAAGAATCATAATGGTCTGCGGGCCGCATGAGAAGGAACAGACCACGCTTGGAATTTCTCTGGGTGTTCGCATCTTTTGAGTTCCACATGAGATAGGATGTGACACAATGATGCTTGGTCCGCGCGCGTTCCCGAATCCGAGCAATAACCCTTCCCTCCAAGCGAGACGATCAACCCAAACAACCAAAAAAAAAATGATAACGGAGGAAGATCAACAAGACAAGGATGAGGAGAAACGGAAGGACCAGGAGGAGCGAAGGGGGGTAAGGAGGGGGGGGGAAGGGGAAGGGGGGGGAGGAGGGGGGGGAAGGGGGGGAAGAGGGGAGGGGAGGGTGGGGTACACGTGGGTGGAAAGAAGGAGAGCGGAAGCTAGTGGTGCAGGAAAGGACGAGGACCCTGAGAGGAGGGACGAGGAGGGGGAGGACGAGGAGGAGGGGGAGGACGATGAGGGGGAGGACGAGGAGGGGGGGGAGGACGAGGAGGGGGGAGGGACGGCGCGAAAAAATGTAACTTAGTGCGCTCGCCGCCACCCGCCGTTCTCCGTCGTCCGTCGTTCCTCGCTCCTCCTGCGCGTGCCCCGCCGGCCAGCGCGACAGCGCGCACCCGTTGCCTCAAGACGGCCCTCTTGGCAACTTTCTCTGGCGCATGAAGCATGAAGCATCGCACGGTGGGGGCATTGGATGAGGAACCCGTAGATACGCAATCCAGGGTCTGGAGGCCGGTGGAACTCCAAACGAAGCTTGGCCACGGATGTCACCGCCGCCCTCATCAGATAAGGAATCCTCCAGGGTCTGAGGCCCCCTGGGCACATTCCTTAACGAACGCCCTCACCATACAAAAAATCACGGCCAGAGCTCTGGACGCCATCTGTCTGCGCCACTCTCCGAGCCGCATCGGTCCGTGAGGGCCAGGGGGCCCCAAAAACCGGGCGAGAGAAACGCGCGCCTCGAAAACATGGAGACTCCAGGCTCGTCATCTCAGAGGACGAGGAGCCCAAGCAGCACCACTCGGCGGCGAGCGAGGAGGGGAAACGAGAAGGGGCGGCCCTTCTCAGAAGGCTCTGAAGTCCCCCGGCCTTCTGAGAAGTTTCTCAAGCCTTCCCCGAAGACGCAACAGAAACGCTCCCGAAGGCCGGGGAGGCCTTCCGAGAAGCCCCGCCGCCTTCTGAGGAGGCCTTCTTCTTCTCACTTCCCCCCCTTCGCTCGCCGCCGAACCGCGGGGCTTGGCGCGGGGCCTCCGCTGCCGAGCCCGGCTGGCCGGTGGCGGTGCAGGGCCGCCCCGACGGCCAGCTCCAGCAGGCAGCCGAAGCCGGCCAGGTGCTCGCAGGCGGGCAGCAGCTGCAGGGCGTAGTGCACCAGCTCCGCGGCCACCAGCTCGGCCAGCGGCGGCCCCTGCGCCAGGCCCGCGGCCCACTCGAGCACGTTCCACGGCAGCACCTTTCGGCGGGGCTCGAGCTAAGCAGTGATTGTCATTGTCTGGTGGTCTCCCTCGTTCTGTCTTTGTTTCGCCGTTCTGTGGAGAACGAAAGCAAAATCAAAAGGGCCCACGACATCGCCAAGACACCGCTTTGCTCGAGCCCTGCCTCTCCAGTCCGCCTGCTCCAATTTTTCAACGCGTGGGCCGCGGATGTCTGGACCACTTCCCTCTATAGGGCCAGTTTTTCATCCCGATTCGTTTTTTCATGGTCCCGAGGCCCAGCGAGGACCACCGGAGGCCGACACGAGCCCCAAACCGCCCGCTGCTTGGCGGCGCTGGCGCAGCGCGCGCTGCGCCGCGCGACGTGCACGCGCAGCCGCACCTCCGGGAACCGCCCCAGCGCGCGCTGCGCCGCGCGCCGCAGCAGCGCAGCGGCGCCGGAGCCCGCGCCGCGCGCGGCCGCGCGCTCGACGGCGGCGCGCAACTCGCCCTCCACGGCCCGGTGCCCCTCGGCGACTCCGGCCTGCGCGGCGCCGCCGCCGCGCGGCTCGGCGGCGGCCGGCGGGAGCCCGCCGAGGGCCTCGGCGGCGACCCTGACATCCTGGCGTCTCATGTGTTTTCTTCGAGCCAGGCGTTTCGCCCACCCAGACATCGGGCGTCTCGAAAAACATCGCGACGGAGTTTTTTCGTCGTTCTCGGCCCCTCGGGGACCTGCGGGGCTCGGGACCGTCAAAAAACGACTCGGGATGAAAAACGGGTCTCGGGAAAGTGGTCGGGAGGTCGAAGGCTCGTCTCGAAAAAATCGAGACGTCGGCTGTCTGTGCAGTTTCGGGCCCCGCGGGGCCCTCGCAGGTTGATCCAGCGGTTTGCAACATGACGCGGAAGGCATGGGGCCTCGGGCTCTGGCAGTGCCTTTTCCCACGATCGGGTTGCATCCTTCTCGCTACACGTCGGATCTCCAAAGGAAGGGCCTGGTCGCGGAGGCGCCGGGCGAGCCCGGCCCAGCCGGCGCCGCCAGCGCCCCCCGCGAGGCCGTTGGCCCGCAGCAGGCAACGCTCGAGCGCGGCCTGCGGCACCGCCGCGCCGCCCAGCAGCGCGCCGCAGAAGGCCGAGGCCAGCGCCGGCGTCCAGAGCGCAGCGCACGTGGCCCAGGGCTCCGCTGGCGGAGGGGCCTCGGACCCAGACCCCCGACGCCATGATTTGCTGACGTCAACCCCAGAGGCCGGGGCTTACAGTCAACCCGCAGAGTAAGGATGCGCGATAAGGATGCAAGTGCCTTGGACGCCCATTTCGAACCTTCCCGAGCGGGGCGCGGCCAACCAAAGTGTCCTAGTATGGACCCAGGAAGCAAGGATGCAAGGGTACCCTTGGGAGGGAGGGATGCCTATCCTTACTCTGCGGGTCGACTGTATTCCCCGGGACCGGATTCTCATTAGAAGAAGAAAGGTCAAGGTCAAGGTCAAGCCTGTATGCCCGCGATGGGGCGGCCGCTTAGGGCACAGGCGGGTGAAAACTAGCAGGCGCTCATGTGGTGAAGAAAATCTCCGGTCATACAATTCCAAGAATGTGGGTCTTTGGCTGCTACTCTCCAGTCACCGATCCCGTACTTGTCGCAGAAGCACTCGACATCAGACTCCCAACAAATCTGCGCGAAACACCAACATGTTTATGTTTATGGCGTTGGCGTTTTGCTCGTCGAATCCTGACTCGTTTTTTGGCGGTCCCGAGGCCTGGCGAAGGCCCCCAGAGGCCGAAACTAGCGAAATAAACGCAGTCGCGATTTTTTCCTGACTTGAGGGGGGTCTGGGGGCTCGCCTCTGCCGGGGCGGCGGCGGCGGCCGCCGCCGCGCGGGCGATCTCTCGCAGCCGCGCCGCCAGCTCGCCCGGCGCGGCGGGCCCCTCCGCGCTGGCGTCGGCGGGGCCCGGCGGGGGGGGCCCGAGCCGCGGCCAAGCGCTGGCAGCCTCGCGGCCGCCGCCCGGCGCGCGCGCGGCGTGCAGGCACAGCAGCTCGAAGGCCAGGGAGGCGGGTAGAGCCACCTTTGTGGACGCCCGGCATGGGTACGGAACAGATAACTAACTACCATGCCCCAGAACAACTGTTGCCCCAAACAGACAGCGGCCGCTGTTGGGCGGGCGGCTTCTTGTCTTCAATGAAGAACGTCCGCGACGGCGCGGATATCGGGAGCGGCCACGAGGGGGGTGTCCAAGAGTGGGGGGTGCAAACCATGACCGGCGGCATGTGCGCGGCCCAGCGGGGGGGCCAGGGACGTAATGAAATAAGACGAGGCGCCATGAAATATGGGGAAATATCATGGCCCACGCCATGATATCCCCCCCCTAGTCATCACCCCCCTCTTTGCCGCCCCCGAGGATGGCGAGTCCTGTTCAGAATGAGCAAAGAAGTGCTGTTGGGCATCGCGCCCCATCTTTCCGTACCCATTTCGATCGTCCCGAGCCTTGTCCAGGTCGGGCGCCCCAGCCCGGGAGCACGGCCCCAGCACCTCCCGAGAGGAAGGAGCCACGAGGTCTTGGCGCGGGGCTCGAACTATCGGTGGGGGGCGATAAATAGGGGGGGGAAGGGAGAGAGGTGCCCTTTGCGGGCCCCAAAAGCTCCCTTTGGGGCCCCAGAGGTCCCCTTGAGGGGCTCTTTTCGGCAGCCCTCGCTGCCTCTGCATTTCCCGCCCCCCCATTGCGCGCCCTCCAATGGCGTCTCCAGGACTTCGAACCAGGCGTTTGCGCCCTGTTTCGGGCCCCGGGACCCTCACAGATCGAACGGGCTCGAAAGACGGTGCAGGTCTAGAGCTGCGGTTGCGATTGTGTACGGAGTTCTCATTTTTGTCGCGCCGCCAGACCTCGGGGAAAAAGAGCGAGACACGAGCGTTCGCAGCTACGCGGGGACCTCTTGGATCGACGCTGCAGCCCCCTGGCGCGCTCCGCGCGCTAGCGAAAAGGGTTCTGGGGCCCTGGGTTCCTGCGCCGATCCAAGAATTTCGCGCGGAGCTCCGAAAAAACTTGTGCGCGCGTCGTTCTTTCGATGATCCTCCGAACGCGTGCTCACGCCAACGGGTGCGTGCCCACAGAGGCCCCTCAGCACGACACAGGAAGTGCAACGAGGGCGGAAACAGGCGGCGTGCTATCGGCGGAGCTGAGCGGGGTCATACACACAAAGCTAACACACACACACACACACACACACACACACACACGCACACACGCACACACACACACGCACACACACACACGCACACACGCACACACACACACGCACACACACACACATACAGCTAACACACATCCTGAGGATCATCTTTTCTCCGGGGCCAGAAAGCCGGGTGGTGATGAACCGCGTGGTGATCTCGGAATCCGGAATCCCCGACGACCTCACCGTGCGGTCGGTCACCGCATGGCTTTAGGACCTCGGAGGCCCCAATCGCCCGAGACGAGAGGATCGGAGAACGACCCGGAGACCAAAACCGTGCGGTGAACCCAGATCTCCACTGACTCACCACGCGGTGTGGTCACCACAACGTTTGGGGCCCCCGACCCTAACATACGACGTAGGGAAAGAAAAATGCAACATCTTTCAACACATGCGACCAGAGCCCGAGACCCAATCTTTATGCGCATTTTTTCCCGGGACAGATCGATATGTGAGGGCCCCAGGACGGACAAGATGCGACAACGCCCGGCTTGACAAACATTGAACCGCAAGGATCTCAGGGGAGACCCTTTATTCTCCGAGCCTCCGCTTCTCCAGACCTCACCCGGGATGCGTTCTGACCAGGCTTTCGAGGCGAATTCAGCGGTGACGGGAAGGGCCTCCCGGGAGGCCGAAACAGGCGAAAACGATGGAACGGTAGCGGTACGGGAACCTTTTCCTCCGAGTTCCCAGACCTCCGACGCCATGATTTTTTCATCACGTCGACCCCCAGAGGTCTCGATCCATTCCCCGAGACCGGTCTCTTGTCCTGGGCCGTTGTTTGACGGCCTGGAAGCCCGGTCAGGGCCATGGGGGGCCGAAAAGGGGGAGAAACCCGTCCGTCGCGTTTTTGCTCCACGACTCGAGGGGGTCCGAGCCTGGGGCCCCCGAGATTCTTTCTTCGCCGAGCCTCCGCCACCCAGCCGCTCAGCGCGCCGAGGTAGGCCAGCACCTCCGGGCCGCTGCAGAACGGCAGCGCGCCCAGCGCCCGCAGCACCGCCCCCGGCGCCCTCGCCGGCCGCGCGCAAAAGCGGCCTTTGGTGCGCGGCCTTCGTCGCGGGCCGCCGCGGGGCCGAAGCCACCGGCGCGGCACGCTGCATCGGAGACGAGGCGCTCACGCGCGACCTAACGCGGGCCACTTCCGCGCCAACTTCGGCGCAGTTGACCCCGTCTCCTTGCGGCGCTCGCATGTCGATTCGGCTCGAAAAGTGACGCAGAAAGATGGAGTCCGGGGTTCTGGAGGTGACTCCTCGCGATGTCTCAACTTTTTCGCGCCGTCGGATCTCAGGTGAGGGGCCACGAGGGCTGGTATACGGGGGGGATGCATCGACCTACAATCGGTCTGTAGGCACTGGGGGGACTGGCATAGGGGAGGATGGCATACGGGGGATGCCTATATCTCCCCCTATCGTTGCCCCCGATGTGGGGCAGCACCGTGCGCCTGCAACCCTGACCCCCGAAGCCATATTTCTTTAAAGACGTCGACCCCAAAAATTCCGACCCATTCCCCAAGACCGGCTTTTCATCGTGAGCCGTTTTTTTTTTTGACGGCCCCCGGGCCGAGCCATGGCCCCAATGGATGGGGCGGACAATCGGGTAAGACCTCACGTCGCGATGTTCTCATGTTTCGAGGGGGGTCCCCAAGCATGTGGCTGCGTAAATTTTTCCATGCGCGGGCCCCGGAGGTCTGGGACCACTTGCCCGGGACCGGCTTTTCGTCCTGCATCGTTGTCTCGCAGTCCCGAGGCCCAGCCGAGGGACCCCGGAGGCCGAAATCAACCCCAAACCGCGCGCTCCAACATGTTTGAGGCCGCTCGGCGGAAGGGCCCCTCCCGCGCGCAGCCGGCCTCGGCGCGTCCGGCACCCCGGGCGGCGCCCGCGAGGCCGCCGAGGGCGCGCCGCCCTCGGGCAGCGCCGGCGCCGCGGGCGGCGGGCCGCGCTGCCGCAGCAGCCGCGGCTCGAGCAGCCGGCGCCCCCGCGGGGCGGCGGCGCCGCCCGGGCCGCCCGCGGGGTCGCGGGCGCCGGCGCCCGGCGCGTCCGCCCAGGCCGCCCGCCGGGCGCGGCCGGGCGCCGGCGCGGGGGCGCGCCGCGGCGCGTCGCCGGAGCCCTCGGATGCGAGAGGAAGCCAGGGCGAGCACGAGTCTTCGAGTGGGACTACGTCGGGAGATCGAGAGCGTCCGAGAGCTGGCGGCTCTGGGGGATGTCTCGGGCGCCGCGGCCTTCTCGGAGCGTTCCGGAAGGCTCGGAGAGCGCTCTGGGACGCATCCGGCTGCTCCAGTGTTTTCGACGCGTGAGCCCTTGAGGTGTGGATAACTTCCCTGTTTTCTGACGGTTCCGAGGCCTGGCGAGGGCATCCAGGGGCCGAAATCAGCCAAAAACCGCCCGCTCCAATCCTTCCAGAGCGTCGGACCTCTGGGTTGCAGAACGCCCTGGAACGGATTGGTTCTCGTCTTAAGTCGGGCGCGTATATTCCTACAGGGAGATTTTCGACGAAAAATGAAAAATACCCTCAAAATGCCCAAAATTGTCAAAAATGGTAGAAAAATCGTCCCCATATTATGTTTAGACTATTTTTGAATATTCCCCCTGTAGAGGGACAGGCCCGACTTAATGCTCGTCTTCTCCCCGTTCGACCTCGGCGACGGGAAAGTTGGCGAGCGGGGACAAGGCCAGCGAGAGCGCCGGGTCGCAGCCGCCGCGTAGCGCGTCGGCCTCCTGGGCCTCCTGCGGCGGGGCCGTCGCGCAAGCAGGCGCTGGACGCCGTTGCCATCGCCGTCCCGGGTGCGGTCGCCGTCGCCGTTGACCGCCGTCGTCTTCCTTGCGGCGTCGCCGTCGCAGTCGCCGCCGCCGTCGTCGGCGTCGGCGTCGGCGTCGGCGTAGTCGTAGTCGTAGTCGTCGGCGTCGGCGTCGGCGTCGGCGTCGGCGTCGGCGTCGCCGCCGTCGTCGGTGGTGGAAGGGGGTGCCGGGGAGGTGGCTCCGCCATAACGACGAAATCCTCGAACTGACTGACCCAACAGAGGCCGACAGAGATGCGAGAGTCGACGACCTCCGCATCGAATACGACCAGGTCATGGCTTGGAAGGGGCACTCAACGGGTCCCACGAGCTGCGAGACGCACACCCTTTCTACATGAACCAACGACTGATGGAATTGGCAAACTACGCAAATCACTGTTTGGCTAACATGCTGACCCTACCCCAAGAGCCGCAGGCACGACGACATGCACGACCAAGCAATGGTATTACAACATAAGAGAGACCTCCCCACGGGCAGCATGGTATCAATGCGACACAACCATGCGTGCACGCCGGCATCATTCTTCGTTACTGATCTACAGATGGAAATCGCAATCGAGGCAATGGTCCAGATGGCCGAGCTCATTACCAACCAGACCCCCCCGCCAGAGAACTAGACGCAAGATCTCCAGAACCAGCAGCCGGCACCAGACCCACCAACGGTATACGACTTACATGCTGCCGCCTGCCGACCCTAACATATGTTGCGGCCACCGACAACCAAACACCACGCCAGATGCAGCAGCACGCGATCGGCGACAACAACATGGCTACAACGATCCGCAACATGATCACGGACCAAAACACCAAAAAGGACGCCCCCCACACCCGCGAATGCAAGCCCGCAACGACACTGCCCTCAGACGGACACCGCAGTAAAATCCACCAGGGCGACCAGCAGGAGACGGACAAGCACGTCTTCTTATTCTACTACAGGCCCGAACCGTCGAAACCAGGGATGACCACGACACCGCCCTCAGATGGACAACACAACATCTTTCACCAGGGCGACCAGCATCACACGGACCAGGAGGCCCTCCCGCTGTACGGGCCCGAATCGTGGAAACCATGGCAGACCTACTCGGACGCCGTCAAAGCTGACCTGCCTGATCAGCACGACCAACCTACGGCGAATCAGGAGACTCCCCACAGATCGCCCACAACACGAGACAATCCTCGCGATGGGACCGGCCTGACAACGCCGATCAGTGTGCTTCGTCCCACACAATACATCGGCCTTTGCAGACAGAACCACCACCTGCTACATACCCACTCCCACCTCTCCACTATCCTTGAACCGACATGTGCGAACTCACCGTAAAGACGGAAGCAGCAAAGCTGGTGGTATGAGAGTCGACCTTCTCTTGGCATATGTGCAGTGCGACATGGCAGAACAGCTTGAACATCAGTGGCACCAGCAACGCATCGTGGACATCAGTGGCGACTGCGATCACTCTGGTTTGATTGTACATGAGCCACAGGTCAACCTCCAACCTTCCCCTACCTCCTGGCTCTTCTGCTCGCAGCCCCATCTCCCCCCACCGTACTCAACTAACCTTCTCTTCACTTCCCCTCTTGTGGTGGTGTACGGGACGCGTCATTTCGGGGAGGGAGGGGGCTCGGACTCACCGCGGGCCGTCCTGGCAAGGGCCAGGGCGGCCGCGGCCGCAACTAGCCACTACGGCAGCGGCCATCAGGGCACCTCCACCTCCACCTCCACCCCACATCCGCGGCCATCAGGGCAGCGGCCATCAGGGCAACATCACCAGCCATCAGCACCCATCAGAGCATCACCGAGGTCTGCTCAAAGAAGCTGCGGTCGCCAACCGCCTGCTAATACAGCAAACCACGCACCCCACACACACACCCGCGCCGCCGCCAGAGATGGTAAAAAACACCCTCACACACGGTGGAAAGCCCTCAAGCAGCCACCACTCCCATGATCTGGGTACCCTACTCCTGCCTCGGCGGGGGAGGGGGGGGTACCAGTCATGGGGATGGTCGCTGCTTCGGGGGGCTTCCCATGTGGAGGGGGTGAGGCCTTTCTATCATCTATCTGGGCGAGGGTGGCCGGCGCTGCGCCGTGCCACCACCGGGGGAGGGCCCAGACCTCCCTCACGCTCGGTGGACCCCCCCCGACGTGCTGGGAACCCTACGCCTGCGTGCAGGCGAGGGAGCCCGCAGTCGGCCTCCGGGACGCCTGTGGGGGATTCCCACGGGCAGAAGGCGATAGAGGGCAGAAAATCCACCCCGAGAATGACCACCCCGACACGCGAAGCCGTTTAGTAAACGCACCCGAAGAAGGAATCAAGCAGGGCAGGGCTGTTTATAGTAAACGCCCAAGGCCGTTTAGTAAATGCCCATTGTCCGGTCTGGGTGGTTTGGCCTCCCTTGAGGAGAGGCCCTTGGGTTCCTCTCCGCTACAAGCGGCACCCAAAAGGGGGGCCCGCGGAAGTATCTCCGCGTCCACCTTCAGCCTTTGAACCTCCACCGCCACTTCCACCGCCTTTTCACCCACACTCTACTCAGCCTTTTTGTTTGCACGCCCTTTGAGCTCTCCACCTCCATGCCGTCGCTTCTGCCCGCATGTCTTTCTCTTACCCTGCCTCTACCTCTGCAGGCCAACCTGCTCCCCCCCCCACTTCTTCTGCCACAGTGGGCACCTCTGCGCAGGAGGGCGCCCCCTAGGGCGCCCGCCCGACAGGGCTGGTTGACCCAAAGGGGACGGGCCCACGGGCCCTGCCATAGCCACTTTTGCCTGCCACACACGCTGCAGCCACCTTTGCCTTCCATAGCCGCCTTTGCCTGCCACAGTCGTCCTCCACCTCTCCCACCTCTTCGACGCTATGAGATGCTATGCCTCTACTTCTTCCCTCCCTCCTGTCTTGTGAGGCCTCGGCCCCTATTTTTGTGTTCTGGTCTCCTCCCCCAGGGGGACTCGACCGGGCCGACTTGGGGGAAGCGGCAGCGTTGTGTCTTTTTGTTGTTGTTTCTTTGCTTACAATGGCCTGCCCTGAACAAGTAGGTGTCTCATCGTCTCGGCTGACACCTGGACGGCGTCTTCAACTGCCAAAAAATTGTTCCATGTGGACGACAAGACAAAGTTATAAGGGACACCAGAGAGAGACAACAAGTGCGAACACGCTATCAAATTCTTGCACCAACCATCTGGCATGCTGGCACACTAGACCACGGCGACAAATGGTAGACGAGTTAGAATTCATCTACATACCTGCTCCCTGCGAGATGATTGCTCCACTTGGCCATATCTGACTGCTTTGCTTTCCACTCCACCAGAATATCATGCAAACGAAACGAATGTGGCCGTTTGCACACCTTGTGGGAAACATGTTTCAACATGGTCCACGTCTGTTTCTGCCATGCTGTGCTGTCTTCCGCGAGCGGTTGCCACTTCTTCAGCGCCTGCAGCAAATCAGATTTATATTGCGGTGACAAAGACGAATGAAATAATACGACAAGCGATTGCACATGAACTTCCGCGTACTTGTAAACGACATCGATGCGTTTACGTGCTAAGTGATCTTTCACTCGTATCACTGCGGCAGGCTGGCCACACATCAAATGAACCTTGGCTAGTGCCACGAATGCGATGATGTTCGGCTCCACATGTAGCTCTTCAAAATACTTCCACAATTGCTCCGCACGCTTCCGATCACGGTGTTGTGCGCAGATGTCCATCAGAGCACCGAGTCCAACACAACTCGGCCTCCAATGTCCGCCCTTCGCCAGAGCCAATAATTTGTCCAAGCGCTTGTGCTTCGAATATTGTGCCAACACCTGGCAAAAAGTGTCGGCGAACACAGGTTCGGATGGCACCGTGTCGCCCGCAATCTTGCCCCACAACTCGCACGCCCACGCTAGACCCTTAGCATTTTGTGCGACCTGGCAAACTTTGAAAACAGATCCAGCCAGGATGAGGCCTTCACGGCAAGAAGAAATTGGCTCGCCCGCATCGATCCACGCTCTCCCTGCCAAATCAATGAGCTGCTTCTGCCGCGCGGCATCGACACCTCCACCGGTGCCCCCCTTCTTTCCGGACAGCTCTCGTCATCGCTGTGAAGAAAGCAGTCAGCACGATCTTGTCACAATGAATTGGCAGCTTCTGCGCTCGACCCCACGTGTCCATCAGAACCTGCCACCACCTGCCCTGTCCGCAGCGCTGCAGTGCTGCACTGAGAACGGGCTTGTCAAACCTTCCAGCTTTGATAGCGGAATCAATGCTCTCCTGCAGGTCCTGTGAGGTCACTGCTTCCTGCATAGCTCGACGCTCGCGTGATGTTCTTTTTGGCCCTGGGTCTCGAGTTGGGGATAATGGAAAGCTGGACTGACTCTTCGCTAGCTTGCCTGATCCTGGCAAGTCGAATCGTTCAACTTGCCGGGCCAACTTTCGCTGCCGTTCGAGCAGCGTCGTTTGCTCTGCACGTGCATGAATGCGTCTACGAAGACACTGAGAGACTATGGGCGTGCTCATCGCAGAAGGTGGCCAACATTGGAAAACCATCATTTTGCCGACCGGCTCAAACAACACGACAAATCCAACAGAAGAGGGCTCCCTCTATTAAAAGCTAGAGCTAACAGGATAAGCGAGGGTAAGTTTGCAGAACAGATACCAGACCGAACACTTCGAGCCAACATCAGGATGGCAGCTTGAACCAACATGGCTACGGATGGTGGAAGCGGCAGCGTTCGGAGAACTCCATTGCCGTCATTGCCTCAGGAGGAGGAGGAACACTGCCACGAGAGAGGTCAGAGAAGGTCAGATGTAGAAAAAGCAGGGTGCGGCTATCGGAATGGACCTCTTGGAACAATGACACGCCAAACCCCGAACGAAAACACAAGCAGACGTAGTGACCACGACCGGGAGGAAGGCTAATGAATCAAGGACGCTATGGAAGAAGATGAGGGGGAGGAGGAGCTCTTCTTTCCCACTTTGTTTCTTGCCTGTATTTTCCCTGCGGCACGTACTGCGCATTATGCACTCGGCGTTATTTTGGTCATGGAAGCCTTGTGCGCAGAGACGCTGCGATCATAGCCATCGAAGTTCGCCTAATGTCAAACAGGAGGAAGTGGAGGAGGGCGGAGGGGAACAATACACGTCCTCCCCCTAGGTAGGGCCTCCGAGAGCCTGCTGAAGCCAACCGAAGGCTCCCTCACCCAATCCGAACGCCTTCCCCCTTCCTCCCCCCGCTTCTCCTGCCCCACCCTCCGGAGAAGGGAGGAAGGAGGGAAACGAGGGGGAGGAGAAGAACTATGAGGAAAACCAGGAGTATGAGAAAGTGGGAAGGGGCAGGAGGAAGGGGGGAGGAAGAGGAGGAGCACAACGAAGAGGAGAACGAGGGAGAGGACGAGGACGAGGAGGAGGAGGAGGAGGAGGAGGAGGGAGGAGGAGGAGGAGGAGGAGGGGCTTACATGCCCCCAACAGCCTCTCAGAAGCGCTCAAGAGGCCCCAAGACGTTTTCAAGAGGCCCCCAAGAGACTCCGAAGAGGCCCCCTAGAGGGCTCCAAGAGGACCCCCAGCAGGCCAAAATTCCTCAAACAGTGCTCGCGCTTCTGACCTGTGTCCTACGGTAACTAAGCCCCCGTGTCGGTCTGGCTGGCTCGTCGCCACCTGTATCCTGCTTCGCATTGCTTCGCATTGCTTTTCATTGCTTTGCGTTCCAATGCGTTGCAATGCACTGCTTTGCGTTACAATGCTTTGCGCTCCAATGCGTTACTTGACATTACCTTACATTGCGTTACATGGTTTACATTACTTAATATGGCTTTGCAGTCCTTTGCATTGCTTGTCTTTGATGTGTGTTGCTTTGCATTGCTTTGCACTACCTTGCATCGCAATCGCATTGTTTTGCATTGTGTTGCATTGCACTGCATTGCTTTGCATCGCATTGCTTTGCATTGCCCCGCATAGACTGTACCACGCGAAGTGCACCACATTGATTGCACTTGTTGGGGTCCACGCTGGCTAACTTAATTCTTGGTCCAATATGTTTTGTACGGTTTTTTTTGTTCGGGCTTCCGACGCTTCAAGACGGCCTCATAGGTCCCAACGATCGTCCCAAGACGGCTCAAGAGGTCCTCACGAGACCCGCCACGAGGCAAAAGAGGGCCTCAAGACGGCTCATGAGGCACTAAAGACTGCCCAAAGGCGGCTCCACAGACTTCAAGACGGCCCCAAAGCGCCCAAGAAGGCACCCAGGACTGAACAGAGGGGTCCCCACGACGGTGTCCGAAGGTTAAGGAGAGGGGCCCCACAGATACCCCGAGAGGCCTCCAAGAGGCCCCAGGAGGACCCTGAGACGTCCTTCAGGCGCCCTCACGAGGCTCCCACGAAGCCCCCAGGAAATCCAAAGACAGCCTCGCCTGGCCTCCGTGTCCTGTTCCTCCTCCTCGTCCATCTTCTCATCCCTCTCCTCCTCCGTTGTCTTTCTCTCCCGAGCGTTACCCCAAGGAACTCCACAATGGCTGGGGGAACGCGTGGTCCACTAGCTTGTAGAGACTTTGGCCCATCCATTGGCCGCATGGGCGTTTTCAAAAGGCAGGGGGAAGCCAGTGGTTCAGCGTAGGCATCTTCGATATTTGTGCCACAGGCCGCAAAGGTCCCATGCGAGAGAAACATGTTGGCAAGAAAACAGCATCCAGTCGTGCAACCGTTTGAGTTGCCATGCAGTCTGCTGCAATCGCAAGGGACAACCTCATGTTGAAAGCATAACGCCCTTCATCCGCGTATGTGTTGCAAACATTTTTGGGCGACTGAGCGCCTCACTATGACATGTAATTTGAAACGACCGCGCGCGGAGCTTCGCCGGGAGACGCATGTTGAAAACTGCCCCACTCAAAACGGTGCAGCTGTTAGACATGTGAAGCACCATGGCCATACATTTAGAGGATGTCTCGAGCGGAGCACCACCCTACCGACACGTGTTTGGTGGCGAGGAGGACGCATGCGATTCGTACAATAACGCGGGGCAGAGGGAGAGGACGCGGAGAGGGAAGAAGGTTCTCCCAGATGGACCATGCCCGCGGCGACACCGACAGCGGGATGCGAGACGCAGTACCAGTGGGAGCAGCAGGGCAAGTGGGCAGCGCATTGGCGTGCCCCCCCGTCTCCAGCTCCGCCACCCACTGCTTGAACGGCGCGACCCTGTCGGCGTCGACCCCACTGGCCCCAACCGCGTCGCCTCACCGCAGGCCACGGGACAAGTGGGCATGAACAACGGCGACGACGACGAGGCCGTCTTGAAGCTTCTTGCACGTCGCTACGACGGGGCGTGGCGCAGAACACTGGCCAGGATGGATGCCCCCCGAGACCCAAGTGCTGGCACAAAGGAAAAAAGGACCTGAGGGAAACGGGTTCAGCATGGATTCCATGGGCCTCCCCTGGGAACAGCTGTTTAAACCGACCTACTCTCTGGTCCTGGGGCCCAAAAAACGCCCTTTCCCAACACATCCGGCGACGTGATCTTAAAAAAACCCGCGGTTCCAGAACTTCGGACCTCTTCTCTGGGGGGCAGTTTTTCCAGCTGGATCAATTTATGGTTCTTGGTTGCAACAAAAACAGCCCCAAGTAGCCGAAACGAAAAAAAACGCATAGATCGGTTGTTCCCCAAGCAGAACATTCATCATGTGGAGTTCCTCTTGGCGTCGGCAAGAACTGGTTCGCAGCGCAGAGCCTGGCTTCGAAGGTACACGCACGTAATCCATTACATGGATCTCAATAGAAACTTCGATTCCGTGAAGGCGAAGTGAGAGAAAGATTAGGAGTGAGACGGGGGAGGGGGGGGCAAAGAAACGTGCACCTTTCGTGCCCCTTTGGGGCCTCCTTCTGGAGGCTCCTCTAGGGCCCCTTTGGGGCACAAGAGGTGTACATTTCCCCCCCCCCTCCCCCCCATGTGTCGCCCCCCTCGATAGGCATACGCCTACACCGATCCTGGACGGGCTCACCCTGAGCCCAGGATCGGCCTGACCAGGATCGGTGTAGGTGCATAGTCGGTGCGCTCTGGCGCAAGCTCAACTCATAGAATCGGGGGCGGCCAAGAGAAGGGCGTCCAAGAGGGGGGGGGGCACAAATCATGGCCGGCGGCACGTGCGCGGCCCAGGGGGGGGGGGCCAGTGAACGTAACGAAATAAGAAGAGGCGTCACGAGACCTGGGGAAATATCATGGCCCCCGCCATGATCCCCCCCCTAGTCATCACCCCCCAATAGGACAGGAGGAGATGCCGACCAGCCATAACTGGGGGTGCTGCGGTCCTTACCCCCCTGGGGGAACCCATCGCATCGACGATCTCTCGGGAGGGGTGTCGAAATCCATGGGCCCCCCAGGGGGGTATATGGACCACAGCTCCCCCAGTTGTGGCTGGCCTGCAGGAGCTGCCACGCAGGAGAGAAGCCGCCAGGGATCGGAAGCGGGCCTCCTCGGAGCTGAGGGCCTCCTGGGCGGCCGGGAGGCCCACGGCCGGCCCCACGGTCTTGGCCACCGCGAGCGCCGTCGACAGCGAGGGGGGGGGGACTGGCCCAAAGGAAGGGGGGCAATGACCAGCCATCGGCGATGCATCGCCCACAGTCGGCCCTGATTGGACAGGACGCGCGAGAGGACGCAAGACCCATCCGAGGGCCGCATCGCCATTGGAGTGTAAGAGGGCACGCGTCGCGAGAGGCACAGGACACAAGGGTACCCTTGAGCTGGCAGGGTCGACCTACAAATCCGGGCCGACTGTATGGACCCCCAGGGGTCCCACGCATTGAACAAAGCAAGACGCAAGGGATTCGCCCTCTTCCGCCTCTGGAGGCCCGCGCTGGAGCTCTGGGACCGTCCAAAAACTGCCCGGAATGAAAGGCCGGTCCAGAGAGGCCCCCACGGCCTCCAGAGCACCCCTCACGAGGACCAGGGGGCCCGACGGGCTCCAAAGTGGAGCGAAAAGCTGGGGGCACCTTTGGGCCAGGGACGCCTGCAACACCCCCGACCAGGGGCCAAAGACCGACCCCCAGACCTGTCTTGGGGTGGCGCTCTGGCCAGAAGCCCGAGGCGGGCCCACCGTGATGCTCCAAGGGGCACTGCAGATACCCAGACCCACGGAGGTTCACGTATTCCCCAGGAGAGCCCAGAATCGGATCGATCAGTCGGATCGGCGATCGAAACGAATCGGATCGGCGGAAATCGACAGCCGAGTCGGGAAGCATCGAATCGGCGGAAATCGGCAGGCTAGTAGGCCTCCATTGAAATATCGTAGCCCAAATCGGAATCCGAAGTCGAATCGCATCGGGGTCGGAAGCCGTCGAAATCGAACCGAACCGAATCGTAGGAATCGGAATCAGCCCTGAATCCCCAGGACCAGCCTTTCATCCTGAAAGGTTCTCTCGACTGCCCTGGGGCCCAGCGAGGGCCCCCGGAGGCTGAAAATAGCCAAACACCTTCCGTCGCGAGCCTCGATCCTCGCACCTCCATGGCGACAATGGGTGGGAGGCAGAAGGACATACTAGTACTACGCGCCCCCCTTCGGAGGTGCGCGTCCGAACCAAGCCAATAGTACAAGCGTGTATCAGGGCATCGCCACCCAGGCAATACGGCCAGAAAGCGCCAGCCACGGAGCATAGCTACCCTGAGATCCGACGGGGCGAAAAAAAAGGAAGCATCGTAGCACGAATCACCGCGTGATCGTTCTCTTATTCGTTGTTTTGCCGATCGGCGCGGGTCCTCGCACCCCCCTCACCCCCCCCCATCTATGGAGTAGGTCTCGGCTATTGTTGGCGCCTGTTTCGAGCAGGTGGAGCCTCTCCCACAGGACGCGCTGCTGCAAACAGTCGCACTAAGCAGAGATTCACAGCGAAACCGCCCCCCCCCCCTCCCCCTCTCTTCCGCCCAATGTCGAAACGCCGAATAAGAAAACGCTCACCACTGGAGCCCTAGACCCCATCTTTCTGCGCCATTTTCGAAACGGATCGATCTATGAGGGCCCCCGGGCCCAAAGCCATGCGAAAACGCCCGGCTCGAACAAGACTGAGGCACCAGGATCTCAGGATACCTGAAGATTTCTGAGCGCGCGCATCGCACCCGCGGGCCGACGCGCCCGTTTAAATGTGTTTGGGTGATGCCGGGAGGAGCCTATTTCCTCATCATTCGCGACAACGCCCGTGGCCAGCCCCTCCCCTCCCCTCCAGCCGCCCCTGATTGGCGCCCGCGCCGTGTGGGAACAAACCATGCGGCGCCGGCGCGACGTCGTGACGTGACCAGCCCCTTCTCCCTCCCCACCCCCCCTCCCCCTGCGCTCTTGCTGACCCCCGTTTGCATCGACTGGAGCCCCGAAACAAAGCCGTCTCGAGAGACCCGGGGATCGCTCCGCGGCCTTGGCCTGAGCCCCGAAACGAAGCCGTCGCGAGAGCCCCCGGGATTGCTCCGCGGCCTTGGCCGCCGCCGCCGCCCGCCGCCGCGTCCCCGTCCAGCGAGGCCACGGCGTCCGTCAGGGGCCGCAAGCAGTCGAGGACGTCGCGCGCGGAGGCCTGGCCTCGGGCGGGGACGAAGAGAAACCCAGACCTCCAGCGTACCGAACAACACACAAGACGTTAGGAGGCCACTACTGGGAGGTCTTCGTCGGAAGGATTAATGAGGATTGAGCCACCGTAGGGGGGCTGCTAATGTGGGATGACGATTAATAAAAAATTGGAGAGAACGATTTAAAACATAGTTTTCTGCCATTTCTGCACAATTTTCTGACTGGAGGAGAACGATTAAAAAATAGTTGTCCAGCCCGCGGCCAGTTCTTTCTAATCGTCATCCCGGGCGCCGCCGCGTGAACACGACCCCCGGTCATTTATTAATCGTCATCCTCCATTACGCTACGCCGCAACAGGCCGCGGATTGATCGGGACTAGGCCGGATCAAGCGGAATTTAGCCGGATTAAACCGGATTTTGGAACAGGGCAGTGTCAGATTTTGCATCCGCAAAGACGGACACGTTTTGAAGGCTTCCGTGGTATCGACCAACTAGAGACCTCCCAGATGGGGTCCGAGTAGACGGTGTCGGAGGGTCGCGCCGCATCGCCGATGCATCGGCGATGCGTCGGTGACGTCGGCGATGCAGCGGCGATGTCCGCGCGGAGAAGATCGGGCTCCACATCGAGCCGCATCGCCGATGCATCGGCGATGCGGCGCGATCCTACGACCCCATCTGCTCCGACCCCATCTGGGAGGCCTAGAGGCGAGAGGCCCAGACCTCCAGCGTATCGAACGTTTCGCCCTTTTCGGCCTCCCAGGGCCTCCGCTGGGCCCCAGGACCATCACAAAAACGACCCGGAGTGGAAAATGGGCCCCGAGAAAAGGGCTGGGACTTCGGGGGACCTGCATGCGAACAAACTAAAATATCAGATGTCGAGGCCGTCGCGTGCGGAGGCCTGGCCTCGGGTCGGACGAGAGGGTGGTGGTGGTGGTCGTAGAAGGAAGCGTTCGGGGGGGGAGCTGGCTCAGTGGGGGGACGCATCGGCTCGGAATCGGCAGTGCGTGGCCGATAGATCAGCGGTGTAGGCCCGCGATAGCGCATCTGGACGTTCCTGGGCGGAGTGGGCCGTCGGGCCCCTGGCGGCGATGAATGGCCGACTAGGGGTCGATGCATACCCCCTGAACCTACCCCTCCTGACGTTACCGTCAAGGGTGGGGAGGGTCGCGAACCAGCTCATCGTAGCTGATCACCACGGCGCCTCGCGGCGCCAGAAGGGCCCTGTCGTCGAAGACGAAACCAGCCGCGTGCAGCAAATGTTGCATCCCCTCGCTTTCCCCATCCCCCCTTTCCCAGAACTCCGACGTCGTCGCGATTTGTGTGCACCAACGCGGGCTCCGTCCCCGGAGGTCTGGACCCCTTCCCTGAACAGGCTTCTCGTCCCAAGCCGAAAAAAGGCCAAACGTAAGCCGTCCGCCGTGTTTGTGTTTTTTCTCCCAGACGGGGGGGCAGGTCACCTGGCCCCAGGGGTCAAAAGTCGACCCCCGGACCTCTCCTCCTGAAGTGCGTTCTGGCCAGAATTTGGAGGGGAGTCCAAACATGGCAACGAGAACGACCCTGGAGGCCCAAAAAGATCAACAACAGAAGCACGCCAAGAACCTCGAACGTCGACTTTGTTTTCACAATGACAGACAGCGGGGATTCTTATGACCCTACGGCCGCCAGGCGGCTGTGATGCTGTTTATGAAATCCGCGGCCCCAGAGGTCCCGACATCTTCCCTGGGTGTGGTTGTTCCTCCCTGTATCCATTTTTGATGGTCCGGAGTCCCGAAGAAGGCCCCCGAGGGCCGAAATCGACAAAAACGCCGCTTGAAAAATTCAGATCTTCGCACATCTGGGGACGCCCGAAGAGGGGAAACCAAAATATACCAATACCACCACTCTTTGGATCTCTGCCTGGGTGCGCTCTGACCAGAACTTCGAGTTGAATCCAGCCGTAGCAACAAGGCATCCCAAGAGGCTCAAAAAGGCGAAAACGAGAGAAACGTAGCTGTATCGGTAGATTGTCTTCCTCTCATCTACGGACGCCCGAACATCATTCTTCGCGCCGTATTGCGACGAGGGCCTCCCAGGGGGCTGAAAAAGGCGAAAACGAAGGAAATTCAGCCGCACCCTGAGATCCAACAATCACGACCAGGGCCCCGAACCCCACCTTCCTGCGCCATATTTTGAACCGCATCGATCTGTGACGGTCCCGGGGCCCGAAAACAGGCGAAAACGCCCCGCTCGGAAAAATTGAGACGCCAAGATCTCAGGGTCCTCGGAGAAACCACGAGATACCGATGCCGCTACTCCCCAGACCTCTCCCGGGGTGCGTTCTGACCAAAAGTTCGAGGCGACTCCAGCCGAGGCGACGAGGGCCACCCGGGAGGCCCACACAAAGGCGAACTCGAGGGAAGGTTATAGCTGGATCTCTTGTCGTCCCCACTCTTGCTGTGCCCACCGAGGTCGCCCCGCGAAAGCAGGCGCGGGCTTCGTCCGACCCGGCGGCCGCCGAGCGGCTCGCGGAGCTCCAGGGCGCGCCCGAGGCAGGCGGCCAGCAGCGGGGGCCGCGAGGGCAGCTCTGGCCCGCTGGTGGACAGGATGCCTCTGCTCTTGGGGAGGGTCCTCCTCCTCCTCCTCCTCCTCCTCCTCCTCCTCCTCCTCCTCCTCATCATCATCAACATCGCCCGCACCATCATCACCACCATCATATCAGCATCATCATGATCATGATCATGATCATGATCATCATCATCGTCATCATCATCATCATCATCATCATCATCACCATCATAAGCATCATCATGATTATCATCAGCATGATCATCACTAGCACCATCATCGTCAGCTTCATCATCACCATCAGCAGCATAATCATCATCAGCATCATCCTCAATAGCATCATCATCACCATCAGCAGCATCATCCTCATTATGATCATGGCGACCATGAAAACCATCAGCATCAGCATCATCACCATCAGCAGCAACAGCATCACCAGCATCATCAGCATCATCACCATCAGCATCATCAGCATCATCATCATCACCATCATCAGCATCAGCATCATCCTCATCATCATCATTACCACCACCACCATCATCACCATCACCATAATCGTCATCGTCATCGTCGTCATCATCATCCTCGTCCTCATCCTCATCCTCATCCTCGTCCTTATCCTCATCCTCATCCTCATCACCAGCATCAATATCACCGTCATCATCACCATCACCATCACCATCACCATCATCATCGTCATCATCATCATAATCAGCATCAGCATCATCAGCACCGGCATGATCATCATCAGCATCATCATCGTCAGCTTCATCATCATCATCATCATCATCATCATCAACAGCATCAACATCAGCATCATCACCAGCTACATAGCCATCATCAGCATCATCAATATCGTCATCCTCATCATCATCCTCATCCGCCTCCTCATCCGCCTCCTCCTCCCCATCATCATCATAATCAACATCAGCATCATAATCCGCATCATCATCATCATCATCATCATCATCATCATCATCATCATCATCATCATCATCATCATCATCGTCGTCATTATCATCACCACCATCACCACCACCATCACCATCAGCATCAGCATCATCATCATCATCATGAGCATGATCATCATCACCACCATCATCATCATCGTCGTCATCATCATGATCATCATCATCATTATCATCGTCATCATCATCAGCATCATCATCATCATCATTATCATCATCTTCCTCCTCCTCCTCCATCCGCTTCCTCCACCCTCTCTCCTCCCTCCTCCCTCCACTCCTGCCCACTCCCTCCTCCTCATCCTCAATCCTCCCTCTCATCCTCCCTCCGTCCCTCCCTGTATCCCTCCCTCCCCCTCCTTCTTCCTGCATCCGCCCTTCTCTCTCCCCCCTCCTCCTCCTCCTCCTCCTCCTCCTCCTCCTCCTCCTCTCCTCCTCCTCCTCATCTTCCTCCCCCTCCTCCTCCTTCTCCTCCTCCTCCTCCTCCTTCCCACTCCTTCTCCTCCCTCCCTCCCTCCCTCGCTCCTCA